GGGGGGGCTAACAGTCACAAGAAAGATGAGTGACAGTTGTGTTTCTTACTTTACCAGTCCCTTTGAACTGTCCACAACACTGTGGAGTAATGAGCACTGTGGAGGGCATCTGAGCTGACCAGTGATTTGCAGAAGAGCTTCAGCTGAGCCAGTGAGGAGTTTTACGTGGGTCCCTCTTCCTCCATAACTTTCTTTTGGCTTATGGTGATGGTCCTGCTCTTTGCCTCTCGTGATACGAACCACTTGACAGTACCAAGTTAGCCTTTAGATGTGCAGACTGACCCACGTGCAGCAGGATTAGAAAAGAATTCTTCAAGAGGGCTACTAAACTGCTCTGAGGTCATCTGAGCTCCTTAGCACCATGGTGTGGTCTCCAGAAACGGGTGTAGCTCTGCAGAGAGGTATTTGAATACCCTAGAGCTGTGCACAACTCTATTGCTGATGAGATGCTGGTCCCTACTAGGGATAGATTCTTTAAAAAGAGTAAGCAAGAGAATAGGCAGGACTAGTATAAATGCCTTAAGGCAGTAAAATCATTTCTTTCTGCATCAAATTCTTTCTCTGGCAGTATTCTGCTTAAAACCCTGTTGGCATAAGAATAAAGGGTGACCACTAACTTTTTATTTTTTCCTTCCACTTTCTGACTTTCCTTCAGAATAATGCATATTCAGTTTAGGATTTCTGTGTCATCAGAATGGTATATTTTAAAATTACCATTAAAAGCTCAACAAGCAAACTGTGTCCTATTTGACCTTAGGGGGCTGCCAGACAGTGGAGTGGAATTTAGATTTTCATCCTTCAGTGTCTTATATTTGATTTTTCCTGTGCTTTTTCTACCTTTCTTCTTTAACTGTAAAAATCAAGTTGATCTCTCCAGAAATTAATGAAGACACACTGCTATCACCTTGTTAATAGTGATGCACCTTGCTTTTAATTTTGCTGTATGCATTGACCATTTGTGATACAATCCAATTTCATGAGATGCTGTCACATCTGTAAAGCTTTAGGAGTCCATGAATTCATTGTACAGGGAATGTATAAAAATGGAACTTAGAACAATGTCGTGGTTCCGCTCGAGTGGGCAGCCGGGCTCCACCACAGCCGCTCTCTCACTCCCCCTCCTCAAAGAGGAATGGGGAGAAAATATGTGAAAGGGGCTCAAGGATTGAGATAAGGACGAGAAAATCACGCAATAATTAGTGTAACAGGCAAACCAGACTCAGCATAAGAAGACAGATAGTAAGATTTATTGCTCATTACTAACAAGCTAGAGAAGTGAGAAACAAAGGAAAGAAACCAAAAGCACCTCCCCCCCCATCCACCCTCTTCCACCTCCTCCCCCCGAGCGGCGCAGGGGAACGGGGGAATGGGGGTTATGGTCAGTCTACAGCACTTCTTCTCTGCCGCTCCTTCTCGGTCACTCTCGTCCCCTGTGCTGTGGGGTCCCACCCACGGGATGCAGTCCTTGATGAACTGATCCGGTGTGGGCTTCCCACAGGCAGCAGCTCTTCCAGAACTGCTCCAGATATGGGTCCGTACCACGGGGTCCATCCCTCAGGAGAAAACTGCTCCAACCTGGCTCCCCTACGGGCAGCAGCTCCTGCCAGACCACCTGCTCCTGTGTGGTCTCCTCTCCACGGGCTACAGGTCCGGCCCGGAATCTGCTCCGGCAGGGGTCTTCCACAGGCGGCAGCCTCCATCGGTGCAGGGCCACCTGCTCCACCATGGTCTCCTCCACGGGCTGCAGCGTGGAACCCTGCTCCACCGTGGTACTCCATGGGCTGCAGGGGGACATCCTGCTTCACCATGGTCCTCACCACAGGCCGCAGGGGACTTCTGCTCTGGCGCCTGGAGCACCTCTCCCCCTCCTTCTTCACTGACCTTGGCACCTGCAAGGCTGTTTCTCACTCCCTTGACTCTCCCGGCTGCTGTGTGGCGCAGCGTTTTTTCCCTGTCTTAAATATGCTCTCACAGAGGCGCAAAACAACATCGCTTATTGGCTCAGATCTGGAAAACAATGGGGCCCTTCCCAAACATGGGGCGGCTTCTAGATCTTTCTCAAAGAAACCACCCCTATGGCCCCCTGCTACCAAAACCTTGCCATGTAAACCCACTACAAACAATATGCTATTTGATGATCACATTCATGTGATGATCACCACAGTGCAGTGAGGCAGGTCAAGGATTTGTCAGCTAAGTTTTGAGAAGCATGTTAACATCAGCTTTAATGTGATCCAACTTGGTTGCCAGCACTGTGGGACCTCTTTCCCTTGGCCTCAAAACTGAACTTCCATAGTCGTTGTTGCCTTCAAACGGTTGATTGTGCCATCTTGCTGAATCACAGGAAATTTATTTTGATTTTTTTTATTTTGATTTTGTTTTTCTTTTAATTTTCCTTCAATCAAAAAAAAAAAAAAAGTGATGAGGATCACCCTGAAGAGAGACAAATGTTACATTTGAAGCAGGGAACGAGGTAGGAATCCACAGAGGAGGGGAAATGTGTAACCTGCTTTTCTCGTCTTTATATCAGCCGAAGTACAACATGAAATTACATATCCATATCCAGTGCAATGGCCTAAAAAGGGAAATATTCCATGGCTGAGATAAGAGGGTCATGAATGTTTTTTCTGTTTCAGCAAATGAGCCCTGTAGCTGTCTATAGGTGTGGATGAAGAAATAGTTACTAGAAAACAACAAACTAGAAAGAGGAAAGCAAAGCACTTAGAAGATTTTGTACTGAAGTCTCCATGGACTGACAAGCTTAGCAAACTAGAAGTCCTGTTGAATTTGCAAGAACTGATAAACTCACAGCACTGAGAATCTGCTGAATCTATACAAGGATATAAGCACACATTAATTTCAACTGTAGGTTTTGTAACTCAGGCCACATCCAAGAAAGGGTGGCAGCCATATACAGTTGAAGACTACAGGATTATTTATATATACACCTGGTAAAGCAAAGAACCTTCTGACTGAATTGAACACTTGCCTAGAAGCTGAGATGAGTAAGCAGCTTGTGTTGTTTCCCCAGCTGTTTCTCCAACTGGGTAACTATATGCAAGTGAACTGACTGAATGACTAAGTGAATGTGTTGTGTGAATAGTTATCTGCTACCAGTAATAACAGATTCATGAATAGCAGGTATTGTAAAAAAAAAAAAAATGATTATAATCTATGCATTTTCCCCCTACAGACAGAAACATATGCTTTATTCTCTATTAGGAAAAAGGGACTTTACAGGAGAAGTAGGCAATGTGTCCATTTTGCCTTACTGTACCTGCAGTGACAAAACTGACTTCATGGATACATTAAAATAAGCAGTTTGGAAAAGGTAGATATTTGTCTTGGATATGGGGCAAGTAAATCACAGAAGTAGGAACAGAATTCAGAAATTCTCACTCACTGTTTCCTGCTTACGTCATCACAATGAAGAAGCATGAAAAGCAAGGGAGTGGACTAGGTTTCATTAGAGAAAGGTATATCTTGGAAACATCTACCCCTAAAGAAGTCTCATGGGAAGGTTTTGCAATTTCTAATATCCCTTGCTGCATCTCTGAATTGTTAATGTATCAAACAGTTGTTGCTCAGATAGGACTTAGACCTCCCAATTTCATTTTGATATTTTCTTTCATCCCACAAGGATGGCAATTCTTACAGAATCCATGAAGAATTCAGTGGCCACAGTTTGTAGAAAGAACATTTAAAAGTACAAATATATACAGTTGATGGATTGTATAGACTGCTATCTACAAATGAAGGAAACTTTTGAATTTGTGAATAGAGAGAATACTCTTAGGACAAAACAGTTTTTAGTAATTGGGAAATACAGCTGGGATAATAACAACAAACTAATAAAGAGAAGGCAAGGAACCATAGTGTATCGTTGTGTCAAGATCTGGATCTACTGTCATATGTGAGATTAAAGAGTGTGTCTGTGAACCCATCTGTGCAGGTTTCTCCTGTGCAACAGCCAAGAGAGCCTGTTTTGTACATGGCCCCAGTGACCACTTCATAGCTACATAGCCTCCCCACCAAGATGTCATGAGAAGAGCAGCTGACACCCCCGGCACTCATCTAGGACCATTCATGAAGCCTTTGGGTGCTCTGGCATGAGTAACCATTTTTTCCTTATAGCTGAGGATGATTTTGTTTTTCCTTTATTCATATTTACTTTCCCAGGATCTTAAACACAATGGCACTTCCTTCAATTACTCACAGCTGCTTAATCAGCCTTGACTTTAAAAATTCTATTTTCCTTTTCTGCCAAAGGAAAATGAACAACTAGTCTCTTCTTGCATCATCGGTCAAGCGTCAGAGACTACACCTCTACCCAATTTTCAAATAATGCTTCTCCATTAACTTGTTTCCCTACATCTAAACTGCAGCAGAGCTCCCTGAACTTGAGGATACAAGATTTTTTGGTAAAACCAGTCATAATGTCTGTTTCAAGTTAGTTCCTAGTTAGATCTGAAGTCAAGTTAGGAATAGGTCGGCTGAAGTGCAGAAGCCCAGTGGTCCTGATAAAACTGCAACAGTCAGTATCTTTTAACCTCCCACTTCTTCCACTACTCCCCAGTAGTTTGGCTGCTTTAATATGAAATTAAATAGAAAATTGGAAGTGAGGCAAAGTAACATCATTCCTAATGGCTCACCCACCCTCGTTCTCAGCTGATTTTATTAATTAACTGAAAAAATTTCATCTGTGCTTGACTGATTTCTTCCAACTGAGGGACAAATGTGTGTGGATTTCATAATTATGTAATACCTTTTGTAATGGTCAGATAGACTTGTACATGAACAAAGGCTTGCTTACAGGACCCACCTTCCTACAGTGATAGACCACAGTGGCAGAAACAGAAGCTGTGAGCTCTCTGCCTACACACAGAGTGGAAAGACTGAAGGGAAAAGATAAAATCTAAGCTATTCAAACTGAGCAGAAATGAGGACTAAGAAATTTACTGTTAAGAACAGGCATGCAGACAGTGTCACTGAGGGCTTTTTTTATTTTTAAAAAACAACTACAGGTATCAAACTGCTAGTCCTTTCTGGTCCTTGAGCTCAGTACTGGGTTAAAAGCACAATGGAGACGGAAGAGTAACAGCTGGAGCATGTTGCCAAAAATGGAAAATATCTACAAGCCGCCAAGGGTGAGGTGGCAGCACACACACAGCCGCATGCTTTCAGTCAGCGCAGCCAGAGGACAGACTCCTCTCAGCCCTTCCTCTGTGCTGCAATGACCTGAAGACTGCAGAATGGTGGTTTCCTCATGCAGTGGGAATCTGGAGACAAGAGTCTGTGAGAAAGCACAAATTTGGATGGGCAATAGAGAAGGGCAAGTTTTGTCTCCTCTTTGGTGCAAAGCACCAGGAAAACTCTTGCCCAGGCGAAGAGGCTACCCCCTTCATGACCTCTTCTAAACCCAGAGGATTAGAAATAGTGACAAAGCTAAAACAGATATTCCAAAAATTCATGATTTATCACCATATCTTTCCTTGTCCTCCTGTTCCAAACCTCTGTTTCTGTCTTTGTAAAGTGGACTGATACTTAGCACAGTGCTATGTCTTGAAAATATATTCATCAGTCTATCAAAGCATCTTCTGATTCTGAGCAGACAGGTGTTAAAATGACACCACCCCACCACCACCAAGAATAAATAAATAAATAAATAAATATTAGGAAGGCCTGAGGAAAATATGTTGCACTGGCAGGAGCTGAGAACTCTCTGAACCATGAGTCTTCTGTTAAACCAACCCCCCTGACAGCTTTTACCTTAGAAGTCTCACTCTGCACAGCTCAGGCTTTACCTTTGATCAGAAAAAAAAATGGACTTCAAGGGAATGGATGGTGCATCGGAAGCTGCTGTCTGTAACCATGAATTAACTTCTCAATAGTGCTATTGATAGGCTCAACAAATTCACATAGCAGGAACAAAGCAATGGCTGCTGGCAAGAGCATGTATGTTCATTTATCCTGGATTTCCCAGCTGTAAATAGGCATCTGCTCAATCAGGCTGGGAACTGGTATCTCCTTTGTGCCACTGGATGCAGAAAATTGGAGCACTTTCAGCCTGCTTGGACAGCCTGCCCAACAAGGCTTAGGCTGTCATTTGCTCTAGAGGTATCAAATATGGGGGCTGTTTTTATCCTAGAACTTCTACAAGGACAAAGACAATGACAGTCTTGTCCTCAAATACAAATGAGTGAAGCAAACAGCAATTTAAAGGTGGTTGAGAAAACACAGATGCACTCTATTCTTAGCTGCTGGTGAAGGACTCTCACACCTAACTCCCTGTGTGGCTGTAAGCCTATCAGACCAGATTTACGATGCTATCTAGACATCTAAAGACAGCGAGGTGCCAAGGGACAGCTATTACAACATCCAAATGAGTTTCTCCTTTAACTTGCAGGAAATTTATGTTCTTACCTGGATGGAGATTTTTTGCAAATCATCCAGACATCTTCAAGGCAATTAAACACATCAGAGTCCTGTGGAAAGGTGTTATTTTTAAAAACAGATCATAGAATCACAGAATGGCTCGGGTTGGAAAGGACCTTAAAGATCATCTAGTTCCGACCCCTATGCCATAGGCAATGACTCCACCCAATATATCAGGTTGCCCAGGGCCTCATCCAGCCTAGTCTTGAACATTTCCAGGGATGAGGCATCCCCAAATCCGGACAACCTGTTCCAGTGCCTCACCATCCTCTGAGTGAAGAATTTTCTCCTAACATTTAATCTAAATATCCTCTCTCTTAGTTTAAAATCATTCCCTCTTGTCCTGTCATTATCTGTCTGAGTGAAAAGGTGTATTTTATATAAAAGATATAAAAATATCTTTTTTATAAGCCTCCTTTAAGTATTGAAAGGCTGCAATGAGGCCCCATGGAGCCTTCTCCAAGCTGAAGAGGTCTAGCTTTCTCATCCTTTCCTCACAGGAGAGGTACTCAGCCCACTGGTCATCTTCATGGTCTCCTCTGGATCCACTGTAACAGGTCCTTGTCATTCTTGTGCTGGGGGCCCCAGATGTGGACTCAGCACTCCGAGTGGGGCCTCACAAGGGCAGAGCAGAAAGGTGCAATCACCTCCATCCCCTGCTGGCCACTTCTCTGTTGGTGCAGTCCAGGACACAGTTGACCTGGGCTGCAAGCACACATTGCTGGCTCACATCAAGCTTTTTATCTACCAGAGCTCCCCAGTCTTTCTCTGCTGGGCTGCTCTCAATGAGTTCTTCTCCCAGTCTGCCCTCATCTCTGGGATTGCCCCAACCCAGAGTAGGTCACAGCCTCTCTTGGCTGCTCCTTTCTTCTCAAACATGACCCACTCATAGGTGGACGTAAGGACAGAGAGATCATTCAACAAATACCATCATGGGCAAAATACACTCAGAATAAGGGAGATTAATGTAATTTATTACCTATTACTAAGAAGTTACAGCAGTGAGAAATTAAGACTAAATTAAAAACACCTTCCCCCCATTCACCCTCTTCTACCTCCTCCCCCCAAGCAATGCAGGGGAATGGTCAGGCCCCCCACTCCCTTTCCTCCACTCACCTATAGCCCCCCTCCAAGAAAAAAAAAAAAAAGCAACCGAAAAACTACCTTGCCTTATAAACCCCAAACAGGCACCTGCCCACTGCCTGGGCTCACCATGGGCATGCAGTAGGAAACTGGATCAGGGAGTCATAAGAGTGCAGCTCACCAAGGCAGAGCTCTCTGTGAGCAGTGACATCTGCTGTACCGACACAGTCTTGTTCCAGACTGGAGCTCCTGTGTTTGCACAGGATGAACTGTTTAAGCTATCTCACTGTTTGAAATGCCACCTCTCTGTAGTGGTGTCAGTGGGATTTTTCTTTCTCTCTCCTTGGTAACTCAACACAGAAACCCCCAGATTCCATAGGGAATGGAGAATATTCCTTCCTTTTTTTTACCTTTGACAAGGGCCAGGGTCAAACACAGTCAGCAGTACAGACAGTGTCATAAAAATAAAATAAGTTGATAGAGATGTTTAAGACAGTTCTTTACAAAAGCAGGATGTCACTGAGGGTTCTGCGTTACTCTTGGACCTGTCAGTCGGTTCATGCAATTGCACAACCCATAAAATGTCCATCTCCACAGCACACCTTCCTCCAGGCTGACTCTGATATAACTCCTATTTATCAAGAGGATGATTTGCTTGAATGTCTGATATTACTCAGGCTTTCCAGTGTACATCCCACCTGAAGCCATTATCCTCTACCTGAGTCTTCCTAATCACTACTCCACAGCAATCAATTAGGAGGTGACTAACAAGCAATTAGGACTTCAGGAGAGTGAATAAACACTCCAAACACTAAAATTTGGCTTTGTGTAAGTATGCTTTGCAATCAAGAATGAAATCAAAGAACTATAAAATGTTCCAAACCCAGAATTAGTTCTCAAACAGAGCAGTGCAAGATAGATGAGCATGGTCTTTTGCTGACACACAGGAAGCTATGATCTCTGCCCAGAGGCACTTTCCAGGAATGACAGTAATTTACTGAAACAGAAATGTTGTGAATGCATGCACACAGTGGTTTAAACACAGGAGATTCTTAGCATTGAAGCAACAGGGAATCTAGCTTAAGCTGTCCAGAACAATTGAAGACCTGAGTTAATGCTACAGTGGCTGTCCAGTCTTCCCCACTATTTTAAAGGTGTTGCGTGTGCCTTTGTCTAAACCAGCTGCAAGTGGTACAGCTCTGAGGCCATGAGATACAACTCAGTTTTCCTGGGATGTAGCAAATCAACGCCATCCATGTGTGAGGGAGGTGAAAGACATGCTCCTGCTTTTCAGAAATAGGCGGAGCTGGGTACTTGATTTGTCAAAAAAAAAAAAATGCAGGTCTGAGCTGAAGGTAATGATTCACAAATTCAACCCAAATTCTGCCAACTAATTTTAGTTGGGGAAAACAGAGACAATAAAAGTGAAATTGTTGTTGTTTCTGAGCCTTCTGATTTTTCAAAAGGCAGCATAATAATAATTTTATATAATAATTTATGCAATCTCTTTAATCATTATTATTACGTTGTTTTAATGAGTGAATCTATGATGTAATCACTTGCATATTGCTATCATTTTCATTCTTTTCCTTCTTTTTTTTTTGTTGTTGTTTGTTTCTTTGTTTGTTCATTTGTTTTTTCGATAATGAGTACCCTTTTGGACTACAGGAAAGGGACTGTCCTTGGTGCAAAGCTCACAGATCATTGGAAGTGTCTGTCCCTACATGTATCAATAAACACAGCAGGACATGGAATAAATATTTATACATTGTGAGTTTGCTTTTTGTTTTGTTTTGTGTTATATATATATATATATATATATATTATTTTTTTTTTTTTCTTGAGTGCCCCAGTAAACTGGCCCTTCTGGCAGCAAATTGCTTGTAGAGGGCAAATACCATGGGAAAGCTTGATGCAAAGCAAGCATCAAGGAGATTTAAGGCAGTGTGTCAGCCAGAGGAATGGAAAGCTTGTTTCAAGTATGAGAAAAGGTCTGGCACAGAGAAGGTCCCGGATGGAAGAGAGAGAAAGAATGGCCAGGGGAGGAAGAAATTATGTTCTCCAAACTCTCTAAAGAGGTAAAGCAGTGACAATACTGGTTTTGATATTGAAACAAAATTGAAATTACCTGTATACACAATATTTTCACAAAGTATAGGTGGTACTGTATTTCATCTAATAACAATTTCTCATCTGTCCAGTGGTTAGTAGTAATAGACCAAAACTTGTATCTGTAGCAATAATTTCACAATAGCAAGACTAGGAACTTAGAGTTTTCATCTTGACTTATTATTAGAAGAGATTTGCCAAAAAAAAAAAACAAAAAAAAAAAAAAAAAAAAAAAACAGAAAATTGCAAGAGGTTACTGCAAATGGAGAATATCAGTTTGGAGGGTTCAAAAGACCCAGAGCCATGGCAGCAAGTCCTTATGAAGGGATATTCTGTTTGATTACTCACTGAAGAAAACTGAGGTCTGAAATCCAAGAAGACTTTAAATTCAATAAGAGGATTAATGGGTACGAGAGACTTCATCCCTAGATTTCTCTGCAAAAGAACCAAGTTCTTAGCCTCCACAAATCAGAAAGAGGAACAAGTTCGTGGGATTTGTATCTGCCTTAGTGCATGTGGATGAACTGCAGGTGCTTTTCCTCATAAAGGACAGGTATCTATGTCTGCAGTGTCAACACAAGGTTGACAACTGCAGTGATTAACTGCCAGTCCCACAATATATTGTATTTCCTGAAGCCCTAATTCCTAATGATTTTTTCTCCTTCCTTCTTGCAATAAAAGGAACCCCCTGAATATAGAAGGATGCTGTAAAGTGTCAAGGTCAGAAAGTAAATTAAAATATCAATATTATTTTTCATCCAGTTTCAAAATGCCTTGCTAACCAAAACAGTCTTACATTTTCCCAACGCCTGACTGAATCCTGGATGCCAGAAGGCAGGACAAGAAAGGGATGAGCCATCACAGAGAATGACCACAGAGCACTAATAAATAAGAAGCAGCTTCCTGTAACAGGCTACTGGTGAGAGCAGAACCAGCAATAGTGCTTTCCCCAATTCCTACTCCCCACTTCCCTCCTCCAAGGCAAATTGTCAGGCATTCTGTGGCAGGCTCCTGCCTGCCCTCTTCTCTAAACCAAAGTCACATTGGGAGCAAGGGATTGAAAAGATTTAATCTTCTTTCCTCCCTATCTGTAGCTAACAGGAGGCTCTGACAGTCCAGACACTTTCCTCATTGGAAAAGGCACTTAGTCTTGCCCTGTGCCTCTTCACCCACCTAGAAGATGAAAGCAGTGAACTCCAGCATGACCAGTGATTGTATTGGTATTATTATTATCAGTATTTTCCTGTCAGACTATTAGACAGATGTCTCTCCTATCCATCAGTTTTTGGTCCTAAAACACACAGGCCACTTGAACTGGAAGAATCAAAATGATTGCTGGAACTCAGAAAAGTAAACCAAAAGTCAAGAGGTTATTGTGAGCTTTGATTCAGCTTTATGCTATTACAGACATGTTCTTTTTTGTTCATTCAAAGCACAGGACAAAATTTGTTTGCCAATATGTGGGCAGTGGCATTAAGATATGTCCTGAGATTAATAGGCTAGTGACGTGAAGACTCACCATTTTCTGTTTGCTGATAGCATGCAAAGAATAGCTAAACACTTCTAATTGCACTAAACCACTGGCTTAGCCACCTTAAAATGGGTCATTTGGTTGTAGCCTTTAGTGTGAAACTGTGGATTTACTGGAAATTGTGCAGTTGTAGCAAGGATCATGTAAATGTAACTTAGTTACCTTTCAGATATTCATTTGTATTTCATGCAATGCTGATAAGAAAATTCAGTTAATAAGTCATCAAACGTTCAATTTTCTATGCCTGTCTGTGGCTAGGTTTACCTTGCTACCAGGATGTGTTTCCATCTTATTTTTGGATTAAAATAAATAAATAAAATTGTTTCTGGTATTAGAAATATTGGTTGGTAAGTATGTCCACTAGGCACACTTGTTTAAACTACTTTTCAAGCACTTAAAATAGGATTTCCTGATACCAGAGCATCAGTTTTCAATAAGTCTATTCGTTTCAAAACTCCCATGGAAAAGAAAAGAACAGCCCCAGATTCATCCCAGCTAACTGCAGGCACCAGCCAGAGGTGGCCACACAAGGGAGCTATCAGTGTAAATCTCCCATATGTTATGGAGAGACAGACAGGTATCTGCAAAACAGCAGCAATGTCTATCTATCATAGCTGTGCTGGACCTCATCTCTCTCTCTGTGAAGGAAAATGAGGCCATTTCAGCTCCTGTCTTAGATTAAATCACCAAATTAAATGCCTACTAACTGTAATGAACCTGTTCCAAGGAAAGTGGACTTGATGGACACAGCAAGAAATGTTTTAAGGCTGTAGCTGTTGTCCTAATAAATTAAACAAAGTGAGGAAATGTCAGTGGGTACCAGAGCCAGGCTGCTATGAATTGTTCAGAATAGCAGAGTTTTGGTCTGGACTTGTATCACTTCCTCCAGGACCTAATGGAAGGCTGAAACTACTCTCAGCAACTGGTTTGTAGGAAGTTACCCTTCAGAAAGCAAGAAAAGTTAATAGTATGGACATGGGCTGTTTTGTGCTGGTCAGACGGGGTACCTAAAGATAATTTTATATGCAGGTAGTTTATTATGCTCCATGTTATCTGTATTGAATACTCTAGGGCTTAGATATATCTTAGTTGCATCCAGACATCCCCTAACCTATGCCAGATGCAGATATTTTCAAGCTTCTTTTTTGTTGAAATACCACTGCCCATAAATCAATACCATAACAACATCTCATTTGAAAAATGTGGGCAGCACTTTGAGATATTTCCATTGCCACGTCACCAGGT